TTATTATTATTATTATTATTATTATTATTATTATTATTATTATTATTATTATTATTATTATTACCCATCTTTTTAATGATGAAAATATTTAAAGACCTGCCTCCTATTTTCCTCTCAACCCTGTGAGATGGATTGGACTGGGGCTGGCCCAAAGCTGAGTGGTTTTCATACCTAAGGGCGGGATTCTAAAATTCACTATCTCCTGGCTTCTAGGCCAGCATTTTCACTTCTATACCAAACTGGCTTTTTGAATGACAAATGTATTTGGTTCAGATTTTAAAATTAAAAAAGGTCTTAATTAAACCTGTTGGTATTCCACAATTCTAGGCAACCTAAATTCATTTTCCAAAACATCAGACCTTTCAAAGGGCTAATAATCAGCTGGTATGCTGTATTTTGTATGGCGGTATATTTCGAAAACCTGTATTGTAATAAAGACTATACTAAACTGGAATATCTAACCTACAAATTGTCTGATAAGCGATCATGGATTTTTTTCATGGATTGGAGGGGGCATGGTTGCGTAGACTGCCTGCATCCCACAGATGGGGGCTTTGCTTGTTTGCATGGCCCAGTTACTGGCATGCTGGTCCAGACCGGTGCTGGTCCCTGGACTAGGATTTGGAAACCCCTGTCCTATGGCCATCACAGATGGAAAGCAGATCTTGGGTCAGATCCTGTGACTAGATTCTTTGGACACAAGGAGGACAACATCATGTTCAGGAATGGAATAGACCAGGCTGGGCATGCCTTCTGGTTTATAAGTGAGATATGTTGAGAGAATCTGTAGAGAATTCAACAGCTTCTTCATCTTGGCCCCGAGGGGCAGAGTATACTAGCAGAACCTCTCCCTCCCAGAGGACATCCTTGTTATTGTAGCTTTTGGCAGTAACAATGTTCAACCTCCTTTGCATCAGTTTCCTGAAAGACATTGCCCTATAGTTGCTCCCCATCCCTGTCCTTCTTTCTTGGTCTTCTCTTGCACCCTGCAACACAAGGGGCCCCTGAGCAAAGCTCTGCTTGCCCTGTGGTCCCCTCTGGTGATAGGCTACAGTTTCAATCATCTCAAGAAGCACTGCCAAGGTTGGGAAAGGTAGGAGTTCATCTGAAGACATTTGAATGAAGAATTAAGCATGCTTAATGAAGCATGATGATTACTGTCCTTATCAAAAAGAGTACATTCATTTTAAAAAGCTATTGGCCTCAATCCATCATATTGCTAGTGAAGAAGATGATGCCCACACCAAACACATCCAGTTTCTACTTGGTAAGTTCCTTGAAACAATAGCATTTGGATAGTCCTTGAGCAGCTACATTGGTAAAGCAGCTACATTGGTATTACAGCACAGCCATTGGTTTGATAAATATTTTCTATAGATGCAAGCTTTAAAGTGTTTGCTTCTGCATATTTCATAGGAATGCTGTAGGATATAGGCAAACAGCATCAGATTCACATTCCATATATAATGTTTACTTGTCAAACAGGAAGGCTAAGTTGTTTTTGTTGTCATGGGATACTTTGTAAAGTGAGTCATTAGAGCTGAAAAAAGGTATGATTATCCAAAAACTTCACCTTTTATCTAGAATTTCAATTCTACTGTCTCAGCTTTTAAATTTAACTGACTTTCCTTTGGAATAAACTAACATCTGAAAATTGTTTTGAATTTGAAAAATGTTCCATAAATATTAAGTCAGGTGATGACTTCAGACTATTTAATGGAAGTCTACACTCCAGTCTTGTATTACCACAGTACGGCTTTCTTCCATGGAGCAGAAGATGTTTCACAGCAGTTATGGCCCATATTTTAGATTTTATACTTCTCAGAATTCTCTGACACCAATACAAATCAATATAAATATGACTAGACAAATTTAATAATGCACTAAATGAAACTGAATTATTAACTCAGTATTGTAAATATTACTTGATTGCATGAAGAAGTTAGGATCTGTGCTTCCTGGCCAGAGATTTCCTTTCTTTTTGTTGTTGGCACCTCTAAAGCAATACTTTGACACAACTTGTAAGAATAGGGTTATACATTTTTACAGGAAGAGCATGAAAATTGCTGATATGCTTAGGGGATGATGAAGACCTATACAACTTTCTTAGCTAATATGAGTAATGCAATATACAGTTTCATTTGGTAAAAAGCAGCATTGCTTTCTATATATAATCAGCATTCTCTCAGCTAGAGTAAGTAGATGTATAATATAGAATTACTCATTTCTTCCTGGGGAAAATGTATTGTATTCTTATATAATCATTGATTTCAGAAATGAAAAATAAAACACTGGAATCTTAAAATTATGAGTTGGAGACAGCCTTTTTGACCATCTACACAGTTGTGAACTTGACATTGAAGTAGAAGAACATCACTAACAAAATGGCTTTTCTTTAAACGGAATCAAAACCGGATACCAACAAAGATGCCACACTAATATGGCATTAGGCTCTAATATGTAAAAGAAGAATATATTTATTACATTAATTTAGATGCCATTGTCTTTCCAGGAACTCATACTCAGTTCATACGGTATATATAGAGAAATGCATTTGCCCATCTTGTTGGAAATCATAGATTCAGCTTTGGAGCCAATTCATTCAAAGAGGAAAGAAACAATAGGAAAACAAAATGAGACAACTCACAATTATTTTGTTCAAACAGTGTATTAGGTAAGAAATTTCTTTTTCTTTTAAGAAAGAACAAACATACAATCTCCCAAATCAAAATATTCCATGAACATTTCTTAATTTAGGAGTTGATCCTACTGATTTGACACAATAAGAGCAATGTGGCCAGTGACCATGAAAGGCCAGACATACTGTATGCAATTAAATTAGTTAAATTAAAGATGAACAAGACATTTCAAGTGCCAAGGCTTTTCCAAACTCCTTTTTCTCTATAATCCAACAGTTTTTATACATATTTGAAAGTTCAAAATTTGATTCCTAATATGACTGCTGTTTCCGGAAAATATATATAAAACTCACATAAAAGTTCAGATGTAATGCTTTGAACATTACATCTGCCTTGGTAAAGCTTCATTCTTTTTCTAACAACCATAGCCAAAATTTATTTAAAGAACAATAGTGACAAGGTTCACATATCATGCTAAGCCATAATATAGTTTATTGG